CTTGTTGTGTATCTTTCGAGGGGTGTAGCTCAAGCTTCGAAAATGGAATGTGTGCACGACATTTGGAAGGGAGGGGTATGAGCATTGGATTTAGATCACTTGAGCCCTCAAAAGGATTTGCTTGGATGTGAATGTACCGGTGATGTTATATTTTGAGGTTATGATCTCGCGAAATTTGTTGTGGTTATGTCTATTGCACTCGATGTGCTCTGAGGATCAAGAAAGAAACCCGTTGAATACAATATGACATTGTTTTTGTGTAAAGAATTTGATATTGTGAGATGGTTCAGCTTGTTTGAAATGTGATATATCAAGCTGCACTAGGTGGACGATAAGCTCTTATCGCTCATACCTAGTGTCTGATAAGATCTATCGTAGCCGCACACAAGCGCATATCGCGTCTAAATTTCCTCAATTTGCACACAAGCTGTCGCAAGCTGTTGAACAACCATTCCAAAACAATCCTATCATTCAGCCATTATGACGAGTCTCAAACGATCTATGGGATCGGATCCCTACTCCTCCAATATATCGAGTAAAGTCTATGTACGATCCACCAAAAGTGGCAAAGTTCAGAAGATTGTTCGTGAATTATATCTTCGACAAGATATTCCCTGCTCATCCAAACTTTGCGACAGCTGCCTCAAGACTGCGCCACCAGATGCGAGTGGTGTTGGTAAGTTTGATCTCGATAATGTATATGATACATGCGCATGATAGAAGACTTACTTTGATGCAGTACCACCATTCGTTCTATCGGAAACCCCTGCGGGAACAGCAGCATACCCTCAGGGACATTACCTAGTACCCGATACCAATGCGTTACTGAACGCCCTCGATCTTTTTGAACAGGCATCGGCCTTCTACGATGTCATCATCTTACAGACTGTCCTTGAAGAATTACGAAATAGATCACTGCCGCTTTACAATCGCTTGATTGGGCTTACAAAGAGCGAGGATAAACGATTTCACGTCTTCTTTAATGATTTTCGTCTGGAGACTTATGTGGTTCGGGAGACTGGAGAAAGTATAAATGATAGAAATGATAGAGCGGTTCGACGCGCGGTCAAATGGTACGATGAACATATCACACAAGCTGTAAAAGCTTCGGGAGGACGTTCGAAAAAGATACCTGCTGTTGTAATGCTCAGTGATGATAAGGAGAATCTCAGAAAAGCAAAGCGTGACGGTATTCAAGCATGCTCCCTTCGGGAATATGTTAGTGGATTGGAGGATGCAGATCGATTACTGGATATGATCAGTGCAGCACAAGAAGACAAAGAAGCCCGAGATGCTAGAACTTCTGGAAACCTATACCAGGAATATTATTCAGTATCGAAAATGATGACTGGTGTTAAGAACGGCACGTTACATCAGGGTATTTTTAATGTTTCGCCATACAACTATTTGGAGGGGTCTGTGAATGTCCCCGCTTTCGACAAATCATTACTTGTTCTTGGCAGAGATAATATAAATAGATCTGTTCAGGGTGATGTTGTTGTTATCGAAGTGTTACCAAAAGACCAATGGAAAGAGCCTTCTACAAAAATTATCGAGGAAGAAACCTTAAACAAGGATGAAAACGCCGATGCTGATGAGGGAGAAGCTGTTGTCACCGAGAAGGAGAGACGTGCGCTGCAGGAAGAAGTAAAGAAGACCCATAGCAAGGGTACGGAGAATCGTCCTCAGCCAACTGCTAGAGTAGTTGGTGTCGTAAAGCGTAATTGGAGACAATATGTCGGTCATGTGGACGAATCATCTGTTAGTCAGTCGGTGAAACAAGGTCGCAAGCAACAAACTGTTTTCCTCATTCCCATGGACAAGAGGATACCGAAAATTCGTGTTAGAACGCGACAAGCGGGTGAGATATTAGGAAAGCGGGTTTTAGTCACCATCGACTCGTGGGATAGAGATTCGAGATATCCGGTTGGTCATTTTGTTCGTTCTCTCGGCGAACTGGAAACAAAAGGTGCCGAGACAGAGGCTTTACTTTTGGAATACGACGTACAATATAGACCATTCCCGAAAACAGTCTTAGACTGTTTACCTGCTGAGGGTCATGATTGGATTGTACCTCCAAGTATGGATGATCCTGGATGGAAAAACAGACGCGACCTTCGAGGTCTTAACATTTGCAGTATTGATCCAATAGGTTGTCAGGATATTGATGACGCATTGCATGCAAGACCTTTGCCCAATGGCAATTACGAAGTGGGTGTGCATATTGCAGATGTCTCACATTTCGTCAAGCCAAATAATGCAATGGATGCAGAAGCGAGTATACGAGGGACCACCGTTTATTTAGTAGATAAGCGAATTGACATGTTACCGATGTTACTTGGGACGGATTTGTGTTCCCTTAAGCCATACGTCGAAAGATATGCATTCTCTTGCTTGTGGGAAATCACACCGGATGCCGAGATTGTTAATTCAGAGTACACAAAATCTGTCATTAAATCGCGAGAAGCATTCAGTTACGAAGATGCTCAAAAGCGTGTCGATGATGCGTCGGCTCAAGATGAACTTACTACCAACATTCGTACTCTTCTTATGTTGTCTAAGAAATTCAAGCAAAAGCGCATGGATGCTGGAGCTTTGAGTCTCTCGTCACCAGAAGTTAAAGTGGAGATGGAATCTGAGACTTCGGATCCAATAGATATCAAACAGAAAAAGCATCTTGACACTATGTCATTGGTAGAAGAATTCATGCTTCTCGCCAACACTAGTGTAGCTGCGAAAATTTATTCTGCCTTCCCTCAAACAGCCATGCTTCGTCGTCACGCCGCTCCTCCAAAGACAAACTTTGAAGAACTTGCCAATCAACTCAAGGTCAAGCGTGGCCTTGAGCTTAAGGTTGGCTCGTCGAGAGAACTTGCCGATACCCTCGATGGATGCGTTGACCCCGTCGAACCTTTCTTTAATACCCTTGTCCGTATTATGGCAACTCGTTGCATGATGTCTGCAGAATATTTCTGTTCAGGCACACAAGCATACCCTGAGTTCCGCCATTATGGTCTTGCATCTGAGATCTATACTCACTTTACATCTCCCATTCGTCGTTATGCAGATCTTGTTGCTCATCGTCAACTGGCTGCGGCAATCGATTATGAGCCTCTTGCTGCTAGTGTCCGCAGCAAGGGAAAACTCGAAGGTGTTTGCAAGAACATCAACGTTCGTCATCGTAATGCTCAACAAGCTGGTCGTGCTTCCATCGAATACTATGTTGGTCAAGCACTCAAGGGTCGTATCGTCGAGGAAGAAGGTTTCGTCATGAAAGTTTTCAGTAATGGATTTGTGGTCTTCGTACCGAGATTTGGTATCGAGTCACTTATTCGTCTGAGAGATTTGGCGGAACCAGAACCAGAGGGTGATTTTGATGCGGAGAATTACGTTTTGCAAACGAAGGGAAGTAGAGAGGTTAGAATAGAATTATTTGGGAAGGTGACGGTGAGGATTAGTGATGTTAAGGAGGAGAGTACGGGAAAGAGAAAGATTAAGGCGGAGTTGGTGGAGGTGATTGAGGGGAAGAAATAAATCTGTGGATGGATGGAGAGATTTGGGGGGTATTGAAATGAATTGAGAGGACTGGTATACTAGGGTTAGATACGTGTATGATTGAGTAGAGATATCAATTTGAAGAATTTTTTCACGCTGAGGATTTGGGGAACCGTGTGTTGTTGATGATGGGAATGGAATCATGGTAACTGTGACATGTTCTCTGTTGCTAGGTATCGAACTGTCAGGATTCAACCGATACTCAGCACGTCTTTCATTGAACTTGTATAATTCGCCCTCATTATCACTATTCTCAAACATTCACTATCCTCATACATCAACATTTGATTCGGGTTGCGATATCTACTAGGCGGTAGATCGGGATTGCATCAATAGATTCCCAAGTCGAGTTTTGGCACTGTCCTGTCTGTCCTGTTAGTTCGTACGCCCACTCACGGGTGTGCGAAATTCGAATCGATCGGTTGGATTTATGGTGGAGTCGCTTTGGGGAAAGGGTTATTGTAACCTTGGAAGATTATATCTGTGTGGATGGTGGATGTGGAATTTTTGTATGGATGGGTAGGTGGGTGGGTAGGTGGGTAGGTGGACAGGTGGAGAGGTAGGTGGATAAGATGTTTGGAGATTGGATGGCAGGGGGAGGGAGGAGGAGGGAGGGAGGGGGTGAAGCTTGGGATGTGGATTTGGAGTGAGTGGTGAGGGGTTGTGAGGGGGGTTGTGTGTATGTGTATGTGTTTGTATATGTGTATGTGTGATATTTGAGTATTTTTTGTGATTTTGGAGGGAGTTGAGAGGGAGTTGGGTGGTGGATGTGGGAAAATTGTGTTGGATGGGGGGAAATGGAGTAGATGGGGGGAAATGGAGTAGATGGGGTAGATGGGGCGGGTCTTGAGGGATAGGAGGTTGTGTGTTTTGTGTTTATGGGAATTTGGTGAGTGAGTTATAGTTTGAGTTGTTTTTGGGTATAGCATTAGTGCTGGGTAGTGCAGTAATTTAGCGAAACTGGGTGAGATGTGAGCAAGCTATTGGAGAATTCTAGGTCGTTGAAGTCTGCAATCTACTAAGAAACTTTGACCAATTTTTTTTAGAACTCGTAGTTACGCTGCTGTCAGTGTAAGCTGCGTGACCTCGGCAGCGAATCAAAACCTGGGTCATTTTTTATCTCAACGACCGGCTATATGCTATTACTCCCGTTATTCACTCTTTTTGTAGTTTAATCTCGTTTGTGGCATCTTACATGCCCCGCTTTATTCGCTCATTGCAGGGGCTGTCAATAGGGGGACAAAGCGGGTTAAGTAGGTGTATTGGCATTGCTTGCGCCGCAAAGCGGCATGAAATGCCAACATGTACAACAACAACAGTTGTATCTTTCCCATAGTTAAATTGGTAGAACCATTCTTTTCTCTCCCCGAGTTTGTCAAGAACAAGAGTCACTCAAACTTTACTTCTTCTTTATTCCATTCTTACTTCTCATTTCCGATACAAAAATGGCATCTTTTGATATCAATACGACCGGCGATGATGTGCTCAAGCACTTCTCCAAGTACGCCGAGGGCAAAACATGTTTGTTATTCTCCTACGATCATTTTACTCTCTTACAAATTCATCTAACGAACATAACTAGTTGTCATAACCGGCCCAAGTGAAAACGGCATTGGCGCCGAGTCTGCAATCACTCTCGCATCTGCAAAGCCCTAGAAAATCATTCTTGTCGGTCGAACTGAAAGTAAAGTCATTTCAGTGATTGAAGCTATCAGAAAGATCAACTCAGACATTGAAGTCTCCTTTGTTGAAATCGATCTTCTCAACAACAAGAGCGTTCGACAAGCAGCAGAGAAGATAAAGATCTTGACAGATAAGATTGATGTTCTTATTAACAATGCTGGTGTGATGGCTGTAAAACACTATGCTACATCTGTCGATGGAGTTGAAAGCCAATTTGCGGCTAATTATCTTGGTCATTTTCTTCTTACCAATCTGCTAGTTAAGGAAATAGTCGCTGCGGCTAATATGGGGGGGGCAAGAATAGTGCAGGTTGGTAGTTTGGGATATCAGCTTGGAGAAACTAATATTGAGGACATAAATTTTAAGGTTCGTTGATGATTGCTACTTCGTGTTTGCAGATACGTGTGCTTAATGTGCAAACTGACTGTATTTTGCTAGGATGGGGAAACATACAATCCCTGGGTTGCTTACGGACAAGCGAAAACTGCTATGATACTGTTCAATCTCGCTCTTGACAAACGATTGAAGCAGAAAGGAGTTACGGCATTGATATGCCATCCTGGTGGTACGTCAATTATTACGCCGTGTTTGTGCCTTACCAACAAGTTGTCGAAGTAACACTCGAGAGCAAGTTATTGATTAATTCAAGTGTAGACAATGACTCGTTTGCCGATGCATATGTTTTGGCGATTAAACGCAATGATGGTAAGGTTTTCGCACTCGTCAATTCACGCATACGTTGGCATCGCTAACTGAATATCAGGAAATCCTCTTCCCCCGCAAAATATGGTGACTTTGAAACAAGCAGCGGGAGTGGTTCTTTTCACGGCTTTGAACCCATCTCTGACAGGTATGTAGATCCAGGTTCCCTATCCTGAGAGTGTACATCCCCTGACCTTAGATTTCACAGAGGCTGCACCAGCATTCATCGTCGAAAATGAAATTTACACAGAGACGAAGGATTATGCTCTCAATAAGGAGACAGCCGAGGGCTTGTGGAAGCTCAGTGAGAAGCTTGTGGGGGAGACATTTGTTTACTGAACTGGAGCGCTGGATGATGAGATTTGGATGTTGAATCTGCTTGAAGGTGTGAAGAATTGGTTTAGGATAGGTGCATTAGATTCACAATTGAAATGAATCGACTAATGAACTTGAGGATTCAGCACCTCGTTTGTCTCATCGTAACTTTTTGAATGATCATGTCTGAATTTTGATATCCTTACGATCTTAACAGATGTATCATCTCAGTTTGGAGTCTAGAGGTAGTTAAAAAGTATCATCGGCAGTCTACAAACCAGTAGGCCAACATTATTTTTATAACCACTCTCCCATTCATCTTGAAGAATGAAACAATCTTGAATAATAAAACCATTTTAAACATGGCAACTGTCTTCAACGATGACAACATCTTGAATAATGAAGCTATTTTAAAGAAAAAAACTATCTCACCTAATAGATTTATCTTTGCATAGGTAGTCATCTTTGAATCCAAAATTGTTCATTTGCCTCTGATTCTGTACTAAAACATCATAATCTAATCATTGAACTACGATGGTCTGGTATTTCCAGTTCAGCTAGATAAAGGCGTCTTTGAATAATCCTTCATTCATCTTGTTCATAAGTAATAGAAACTTATGTTTTTGTGCTTGTATTGAAAAGACTAATAATTCTTCATGAATACTGGGAAAAGCGATTTCATTATGATTTGACTCGTCTGAAGCTAACCTTTAAGGATATTAATCACGCCCAGATAGCGAACCTCAAGTAATGAGTGACGTTGATACCAAAAGTAGAAAGCCAACTTAGTAGAACTTGTTAAATACAGTCAGGACATTAACTTGTGAATCGACTTCTTTCCTGGATTGAACTTATGCTATGCGAAACAATTGTGAGCTCTCCTACTACCCACGAGTTTGATAGAAAAAATTCAACCATGGGAGATTTTCATATGTGAAAATTGGGTTTCTTCAAATTAAACAAAATTTTGCAAAGAGACTCAAGATCTAATGACTTAAATGCTATTGACAGCGTTCTTGTAGTCATATAATATAATGGCTATCCAAAATAGTACGACCATACTACAGCATAATTGTAATGCTATGCGAGCATCCAAGTCACTGAAGATCTAATCTCATAGTTGTAGCAACGCTACCAGCGAAGTTTTCCTATGACAGCTTCTCAACTTTCTTTCGAATCAGTGAAGAGTTGGAAAACAGTGAAGCTAAATATCTCCTATCCTGGGTGGGTATCTGCAACCTCGAGGACTACCACGAAGTCTCGCCTTAGTCTTGAAGAAATCACGATGAAGATACAAGGTGTAATTTGAGAATGACTACACGCGCTGTCAACGCGTATTAAGTGCTAGGGAAGATGGATAACGTTATTAAAGAGCGATACCCAAGTGATCAAACAATTCTTTGGTTTGGAATGTAAAAATAAGAGTAAGTATGAGCCAAAGGTTGTGGTGTACGTCGATTCTCAGTAGACTGCGTGGATCCTCAAGTGAAAAGTGAGGAGTAAAACTGGAAGTCTAGAGTTAACAAGTTTGATTGAGTAGGTATGCATTGCTGGCCATTGTTTTGTCAAGCAAGGAGATGTCATGTATCTCACTTGAGCATTTGATCAAACATAGTCCTGTTGGAAGACAACATGCGTTCAATACACATTGAACCGCAAGGAATTATATCTATGATCAAGGCAATTGTACTAATGCAGTAAGAACCTCTCTCGCTTACCCCGCAAAACCTAATTACTCGCTACCAAAAATAGGTACAACATCTCGAATATTTGTAAATAACCAAAATAAATTGTAAAAAATCAATCTACAACGTTTATGGAGCGGCAGAGGATCGAACTCTGGACTTCATCGATGTATAGTCCCCCGCAGGGAACAGATAATGCAAACGAGGCACTCTACCACTGAGTTACGGCCCCTATTCTGATTGATGACGATTTCAGCTTTTCTAGGTATATGATCGCACGTGAAGATAAGCGAAGCACAGACCTCCAGTGAGCCAGATTCCGCACATTCCGTACCGAAAATTAACCGGCACTGGCATCATTCAATATTATATCGATATGTCAAATTCCAATCTCATCTCAACAATAACCACATTGACGATATCATAATGATAATCAGGCATAGATTGACCGTTTTACTCTGCATCGCAGTACTTGGACTTTTGAGTGTTGCGAATGCGAGTACTGGTGATCGATTGCCTGAATTTAAACAATGTGTTGAGGTATGAATGTCCTTGGAGTTTGTTTACCTTTTGTTAAATACTAATAAACATTTAGGTCTGTCAACGAGAGAATTGCGACAATGAAGTTGGAGGCGGTACGAAGATTCGTATGTCAAATATTCCTCCCTACAATTCCTACTCTTTTTTTGTACATTAAAATTAACAAAACGACACAGCACTCCACCATCGACTTCTCCTCTGGACTTGCCCAGCCGAATGTGATTATACCTGTCAACATATAATTACCGACTCGCGCGTTAAATCCTCACAACCTATTGTTCAATTCCATGGAAAATGGCCGTTCTATCGTTTCCTCGGCATGCAAGAGCCTTTCTCCGTCCTCTTTTCACTCTTCAACTTCATGGCGCATCACAACGGACTTGCAAGAGTAACGACTCAGATTCCCGAGGATTATAGTATGCGGAAATACTATGTCATGCTATCATATGCGGGAATGATGAGTTGGGTAGCCAGTATGGTGTTTCATACAAGAGACTTCGCTTTCACGGAACAAATGGATTATTTCGCGGCAGGAGGAAGTGTTTTGTACGGCATGTACTATACTCCAATTCGAATCTTCCGTATGGATCGTGGTGGAAAACGCACAAAGTCTATATTACGTGCCTGGACTCTTCTATGCATACTCTGCTATATCGCACATGTTGTTTACCTGAAGTGGTGGGATTGGGATTATACATATAACATGGCTGCAAATGTTGTGGTTGGAGTAATACAAAATTCTCTATGGAGTTGGTTTTCGTTCGAAAAATACAGGAAGAGTAAGAGGGCATGGGCGACATGGCCAGGGTTAGTAGTTGCGTGGATTTTTATGGCAATGAGTTTGGAGTTGGTGGATTTCCCGCCTTGGTTGGGATGTTTGGATGCACATAGTTTGTGGCATTTGGGGACGGTGGCTCCAACTATGATTTTCTACAGGTATGTTTCCCATTGTTTCTTCATGGTTGTCATTTGGTGCGGTCAGTGAGAAATGCTAATTTAGGAATAGTTTCTTGATCAAGGATGCTCAAGACGATATAGCTGGACAAAGATTAAAGGCTTAGACTATACATGAAGTGAGGTGGGTAATCATGAAATGGCTGGGAGGGGTTTGTGAAAGAGGTTTAATGTCAAAATAACAATACTGGAACATATCTGAGATCTTTTCCCTACAGACGCGGGAGCTAAGATGGCGCTAGAAGCAGAGGAATAGGCGTCGGTGAGTCGTTACCCGTGTGGCGGTGAGGTTATGGTAGTAACATCGCGAATCTTCAAATCTCCGTGCTGTTCTGCATGAAAGACATCCTGAATCATGCTAGCTTGTTCGCAAAGGGTAGCATAGACTTGGGTTCATTCGGATGCCAAAATGTGAATGTTCAGAGCGGTATTTCCAAAATGATCGCCTGAAGTTAGGTGGAACAATAGGGGTTCAACGTTGAAGATTGAGTTGAAGATCGGAACTCGATGTCTCAGGCTGAACGGCAAAACGGAATCTTAACGTTCAAGACTGGATGGAACAATGAAGGGTGAATGTTCAAAATGAAATGGGCAGTCGGAGCCTTGATCCGTTTAGATCTGATCCCAACTTTCCGTCGCGCATCCAAAAACTAAATGCATCCTCAATATCCATATCGAAGTTGTGATTTTACATATATAACAGAGACGTCTAGAAGGTATTCTTTCGTCAGTGGCGTCGAGTAGAGTTCAGACGGGATACGGAATTCAACTTTCCAGAGTGAGCCTGACAGAAAGCGGCGGGGATAACAAGTAGAAAGCTTCACGTGAAGAGGTCAAGCCAGCTTCCTTCAATACAGTAGGAAGGATAATGTAATCGATACCTTTCCGCCCTTGGTTATCCAAGCAAAGTATCAGGATAACAAATAATCACAATTTCAATAATACTTCAAGTTCACGCACGTATTCATGTAGTAAAGAGTATGTTGTAAATGGGTCTTCTATTTCAGCGAAGCACTATACAAACATCACATAGACGAGCAGACAAGACAAACAGACAGACAGACAGACAGACAGACAGAAAGTAAAGAACCCTTTCCCCATCAATCCATCCATGCCTATCCATCCATCCATATCCAATCCTCCCTTCGCAAGAAGTCCACGCCGTTTCCTGCCTTCCCAGAAACGCCATCACATCCCCAACACCAAATAAAAGGAGAAAACAATGATTTTTCTTTGGGAAAAAAATTCCTCTGCTGAGACTCAAAGAAAAGACTTTGCCAAAATGTATCCTGCTTTTGGGGGTATATCTTCCTTCCCTAACCCTTCCCTCCTTCCCCCATTCCATTCCATTTGTCCCCGCCTCTTCAAATCCACATTCCTTCTCCTGCCTCTCCCCTATATATCATGAACATTAACAAAAACGACACGATACCCATGTCCTCCAGAAATTATTAATTAAGTGAGTGGGATCGTGTCACCGACCAGGTGAGAACGATTGCAAATAGAAAATTCAAAAAGACAAAAAACGCAAAGGTACAAAATGAAACGCTGGGATGCCAACACCCGTGGGTGATTGTTGCTAATATACAATGCCAATTATTTTAAATCGAACCGGTCTACGATTAATGGGATATCAATGCTTCGTCGATGGAAGACAGGTGCCAAATGTGAAATAAATCAAAACGCCGAAACAATTACACTGCGGAATATTCTGGGAGCGCAGTTCTCATCCGTCAAACCTGAGGGACCCACTGAAAAGATGGATTTTTCTCGACTCTTTATTTCTCCGAATAGTCAGCGGGAGTGACATTGGAAAATTGATATTGTTTCTGCTTCGTCGTCATT